TGCTCCCCGCTTAAAGGTGGAAGCACATAAAATTGCAGGAGCCATGAGCAGAATGCAGAAGCCATATGCGCATGCGCGATGGTATCTGTTAATGCCGTGGCACATAGAAAAACTTAAGCAGTAAAACTCAAGCAGTAAGCAAATCAGCCAATCACAGTCAAGAACTTAAGGCACGGCCCTAAGCGGCAGCGAATCCAAACTGTTAATTTTCAACTGCTTAAGTTTTACTGCTTAAGTTTTTCTATGTGCCAAGGCCCTTAGAGCTCTTCAGATACCATAGCGCATGCGCATATGGCTCCTGCTTTCTGCTCATGGCTCCTGCAATTTTATGTGTTTCCACCTTAAAGGTCAATCCAGACAAACTTGCATAGCGCATAAACATAAGCATAAAGAGAATTGATTGGTCCATATGCATGTGCATAAGGAAATAGACAAATCCGTTTCTTTATGCATATTATTGTTATGCACCTATGCAAGTTTGTCTGGATAGACCTTAATAATGCACAGTGCATTGTGTGCTCGCGAAATCTTGGTCATTTGTCGATAGAACGTACGTGAGTTAGTAGGTGAGTTAATAAAAGTAATTTTGAATAAGCAATTAAATAATTGTTATTACTTCAATAGGTTTGAATAACTATTCGTCCGGGAATCGCACAGCGAGCGGACCAGAGCGGACGTAAATCTCGCCGATAGAGGCGGTGTCGCGCGACACAGTGAACACTGAACTGACTGAACAGTGAGTAACCGACGTGGGCGACGTAAACATCGAGGGAATCCCGCGACTATTACGTCTTAATACATTAACGCGATTTTACTTCGCAATTAAATTCAATATAGATCTTTTACCATCAGGAAAACGCCGTAAGCGAACATATCGCGAGGCATTTTTACTAACTAACATCTTAGCACTATAACCCGTGTGACACGTTTGTGAGCTACTATAATAAGGACTCGAAATAGTGATTGCGATTAAGAACAAAGAAAACTCACTTGCCGGGAAAAACATTTGTACCGAATTGCGAGAGACTTGTTACAACGTGTTACCAGCCGACTTACAGGTATTTGTTACAATTGCGTGTGCTTGTTGATACGCGACATTGCGAAATGCGAATAACTTCCGAGTACACCGTGAGTCATATACGAAACATTTGAGTGCGCGTGTCGAGTGTGATGACTGTATGAGTGAGTGTGAGAGGTAAATCATAATACTTTTTGAAGTGGATACGGTGTACAAGGTGATACAAATCGTTTCGAACCTCTCCTCTCGCACTGCACTGCTATTGTGGTTGTCGTTGATATCTGATCTGATGAAACTGAATTAATAACAGCGAGTTCTCTATTGTGGGGAATAATTACCTACTGTGGAGAATACTTACCTGTTACGGAGAACAGTCAAGACTCAATAGGGATTAGATCCTGGTGGGAGCGAGCAGCCGAGTCCGAGACGTCGGTACCTGTAACAATAAAAAAAAAGAAAAGATTATCAATAAAATATCAATCAGAGAAATCCTTTTTGGCTGTGAAATCGAGCGGTAACCGTAAAGAGTGAATCTTGTTTGTTTTTATACCGTCCGTTCAGTCATAACTTTGGTTTGTGTTTAAAAAACACAAACTTAAATAATTTAACTGAAATTCACGTTGCGAAAATTATAAAACAAATTTACATCTCTCAGTATATTGCAGATCAATAGAACATCGCTAGCAAACCTGTCCTTATGCTTTTAATCTACCTGTGGTTGACCCTTCTCTATGCCACTTCCAGTATTATCTAAAACCATATTAGCATATTTAGACATTAGCTTATTTAGACATATGCCAAGAAGGTGTTTCTTTATTCGTGCCTTATTAAATAAATTTTGTCATCCTACTTCTGGTATAAATGTATCTTATGAAGAATATAAAGACTATTATAAGAAAAGATTATAGAGAAGGGGACGCACACAAATAAAACAAACTGATTTTTAACAGCTAAAACTTTTATCACCTACTTCTAAATTTAAGGAGGAATTTATAAGAGAATTCAAAAAATATGTCGAAACAATCAAGAGAACATTATCTCCAAGTTCTAACTGAACTTGAAAAGGTAGTATCAGAGAATAATATTGATTACTTGAAAAAATTAAGCAATTTAATTGACAACATAAGTAATGAAGAAGATCAAATAACTTTGAGAGATTATTATGATAGTGCCAGCAACCCTGTTAAAAGCACTAATTTAGTTATCTTAGCTTGTAAATATAATAAAGTAAAAATTTTAGAGTATCTATTTGATAGTGATAGTAGAATTTTAAATAATCTGTCTACTGTTATTGGCAGAAACACTATACTACCAGATGATGAAGATGAAACGTGCCATAATGCCTTTTATTATGCTATACGTTCATGCAATATCGAGCTTCTTGATACGCTTATTAAAAAATGGCCAGGTAATTATTTTGGTGTTTATTTAGGAGAATTGGATACAATACTTTCAAAAGCCTATGAAGAATTAAAGTTAAAAGATGTACCAGTGTCAGACGAAATGGAATTTTTTGTTGAAAATAAGTTAGTAAACCTCCGTTTCTTCTCTAATACTTTTCGACAATATCAGAATGCAAAGAAGTATCTTCATAACATCAGAGAACGGATTGAATTAACACTTCAAAACATCAATTTGCTAAAGACAGATTACTTAAACACGGAAAAAGTAGATAAAAGGATTTTATTTATAGCAAAATCTATCGCACAAAATATTCATATATTAAAACGGCAGTTGAGCTCAACCTATGATAAATTACCTTGGGAAGAAACGGAGTTTTGTTTAGTCAGTTTTATTTCCTCTCACACAAAACGACAAGAAATTAATCTATTTTATAATGCTACATTGAATAAAAGCAAAATATTAAATCACTTAGGAAATTTTGCAAAGAAACTTGAAATCGAAAAAAATATTTTAAAAGGTGTGAATAAACTCGCAGATTTTCCAAAGTTAAAACGCGAGAAAATTATTGCCGAGATTATTAGCAGCTGTCCTCAATTTGAAGAGTTGTATGACGATTATCAACAAATTAGAGATATCCATTCTTTAATGAAAATAAGTGATTATATTAAGTTAGCGTTATCGGCTGATCCTAAAGAAAGGGAAGGACAGTTAATTATTACAAGAGTTTTACAGGTTATCGGAGAGCATTTAAAAAACACATTAGAATCACCCAAGTTATCTAATACTACAAGTGAGCTTTTGCTATTATCGTTACCAAAAAACACAAGAGAAATAATTATAGATTTACGTAATTCACTATCACATGCTTACTCACTCTCCAAGAGAACAGAAATTGAGGAAAATACAGATGTTAGTTTCTTTATTGGTGTTCAAAATGATACTAAAAAAATCGATAATGTAATTACTGATATTCTTTACAATAACAAAATCAAAACAATTAAAATGCTTCTAAAAAGAATTGCTGATAGTGAGAGCTTAGGTGAGATAAGAGAAATTATTCAAATATTCAGTAATGTTGAATTGGATAAAATAATATCGGAAAACTTCAAAATGAGGGAATACGAGAAACTTGAAAAACTCATTAAAGAATTAAGCGCTAATATAACTGGCAAGACAAATGATGAAAAGGAGTTGTTTAATAAAATTAATAACATAATCAGTTGTGCAGAATTTCAATCAGAAAATATTAGAACTGATTATATCAGAGGATTTCAATTATTAAAATGTTTAATTAACATGAGTGACACATTTAAGATTGACCACAACATTATTAGAGGAATGAAATTCTTTGCTAATCAAACATTAGAGAATATGACTCTGAAAATTAACCCTCAAAGCCTTCAAAAAATTGTTGAGTTGTCAATGAAAATTTCTCGTAGTGTTAGGTCAAGAATACAACTTTCACAATATGATAACCTAGATAAACAGATACAACATGACAACCTTGATGAAGTAAACAGATTAATTTATGAAATTTTTTTTTATGTCGCTGAATTTGGAACAAGTGACATCAAATGGATTAAGAAATTAAGAGAAAAATTGAATGAAAAAGGTTCGTTTATTTCTACACATAAACAAAGGAAGATTTACAATATAACGAAAGAAAAATATAATAACCAGCTTGCACTAAAAATATCTGAACTGAAAAATATTTTAAGCAATAACGCATTGAGTGGTCAATTTATTGAAAAATTACCTTCTTATAAAAGTGATAAAAAATTGCAAACAGTAGTAGAAATGCTTGTTCTGGATACAATGTCAATTTTAGATAGCTCAAAACATAACTTGGAAAATAATCTACTTTTTTTAGATGATACCACTCCTTTATTAACTGGAAAATGTTTACGTAATCATTTAGCACATGATAATGTCTTAGTTGATGTATTGTTATCTGATCCTTCAATAGCAGTTATTTTGAACGCTAAAAAGCTTACTGAAGAAAATATAATGAGAAGCAAGAAAAAAATTGGCAAGTTAGTAAACGATGATTCTTTCAAGTTGAGAGAGAAATACGATCAAGACCTAGTTTCCGTTACTAATCAGGAAAGAATGTTTGTTGCTTTGGAAGAAGGAAATCTAGAAAGCTTAAAGAATTGTTTAAAAAAAGGAGCAGATATTAATGCTAAAGATGTTAATTCATGGACCACGTTACATTTTGCTGCTAAGGGACCCAGTCTAGAAGTTACAAAATTTATTCTTGATCAAAATGTAAACGTTAATGTAAAAGATATTAATGGTCGAAGCCGTTGCTGCAGCGCATGGAAGGAAAAACATTGTAGAATTTCTTATAAAAGAAGCAGGTTTATATGTTGATGAGCTAGATACGAATGGCAAAACACCACTACATATTGCTGCTCAAAATGGTTACAAGGATACTGTTAAAATTTTGTTAAAAAATAAAGCGAATATTAGTGCCCAAGATTATTGTGGTCTTTCAGCTTTACACTATGCAATAAATAATAATCATATTGATGTGGTCAAGATTCTATTGAAAGAAGATGTGAACGTTGATATTAATGAAATTATGGGTGGCTTTACCCCGTTGCATGTAGCTGCAGAAAGAGGTCATCTGGAGTTAGTTAATTTCTTGCTTCAAAATAATGCAGATGTTAACGTTAGAAATGATGAAGATTGGACACCGTTACATGCAGCAGCATTAAACGGCCATCTGGAAGTCATAAATGCTTTAATTCTAAAAGGAGCTGATGTTAACGCTAGAGTCATAAATGGTTGTACATCTTTACACTATGCAGTAGAAAACGGTCATGAGAAGATAGTTAATATTCTATTGAAGCATGGAGCTAATGTTAACGCTGTTGATAAATCCTATAATAATACACCTTTGCACTATGCAGCATTAGATGGGCACGAGGGAATTGTTACGGCTCTACTGGAAAATAAAGCCAACGCTAATATTGCCACTCTTACAGGTGGGATTCCATTGCATCTTGCTGCCCAGAATGGTCATCTAGGAATAGTTGTTGCTCTACTTAAACATGGTGTTGACATTGGTGCTAAAGATCAAAATAACGCTACACCATTATACTACGCAGCAAAATGGGGTCATAAGGATGTTGCTGAACTTTTGATAAAAAATAGAGCACAAATTAATGTCAAAGCTAACAATAATGTGACACCACTACATGTAGCTGCTCAGGAAGGTCACGAAGATATTATTAATCTTCTAATAAAAAATAGAGCTGAGGTTGATGCAAAAACTCATGACGGTAGTACACCACTACATCTAGCTGCTCTGAAAGGCCACAAAGATATTATTGATATTCTAATAAAAAATAAAGCTGAAGTTGATGCTAAAACTTATGATGGTATTACACCATTGCATCTAGCTGCTCTAAACGGTCAAGGAGATGCTATTGTTTCTCTAATAAAAAATGAAGCTAAAGTCAATACTAGAGATAATAATGGTATTACACCGTTACATGCAGCTGTTGTAGAAGGCCACAAAAATATTGTTAATCTTTTAATAAAAACTAAAGCCCAAATTGATGCAACAGATTTTGCAGACGTTACACCATTACATGCAGCCGTGGGAGCAGGTAATAAAGAAATTGTTGAGATTTTGATAGCAAATGGAGCCAATGTCAATGTCAAGAGTAACAACATGACACTATTATTTTTTGCTATAATATATAATCACAAGGAAATCGTTGAAGTTCTTATAGCGAATGGAGTTAATGTTGATGCGGAATGTATTAAATATTTGTCAATAGCAGTTCTTGCTGGATACAGTGATATTGTAGAAATTTTGCTAAAAGATAAAGCTCGTGTTAATATGAAAATTACTGATATGAAATTTACACTATTACATTTGGCTGCTAAAAGAGGTCATAAAGATATAGTAAACGCTCTGATTACACGAGGAGCATATATTGATGCCATAACCATTGGTGATATGACACCATTATGTTTTGCAGCAGCTGAGGGTTATGAGGAAGTTGTTGAGATCTTGATAGCAAATAGAGCTAATGTTAATATTATGTGTTGCGATGGTACTCCATTACACCTAGCAGCACCAAACGGTCATGATAAAGTTGTAAAAGTTTTACTAGATAATAAAGCAAATATTGATATTAAGGATTATAAGAATAGAAAACCTTTGGAATTAGCAGTGGCATATGGTCATTTACACGTAGTGAAAATATTACTGCAGTACAAGAAAATAGATATGGATGCTAAATGTAACGGTGATTTTACGATATTGCATATTGCTTCACAAGAAAGTAACTTAGAGATGGTAAAATATCTGGTAGATAAGGGATGTGATGTTAATGCTAAAAATAACTTTGGCTCAAAACCTGTACACATTGCAGCTAGAGAAGGTTATAAAGATACTGTAGAATTTTTTCTTAGTAAGGGGTTAAGTATTAATGAGCCTGGTATAATTAATAAGACATTACTACACTATGCTGCATCAAATGGTCAGTTAGACGTTGCAAAGTATTTGATATCACAAGGCGCTGACATTAATGCTAAAGATGCTAATGGCGCAACTCCTATGCATGTTGCTGCTAGTTCCGGTTATAGTGACTTTATTGAAGTTCTATTAAAAAATGGCGCAGTTTATAACACTGTTGACCACAAATATTATAAAAGACCACTTGATATGTCTAATGACGAAAACGTTATTAATCTATTAACTTCAACTGAGGGATTGTTTGAGGCTGTAAAACGTAATTGCCTTTTAGATGTTGAGAATTACATTAAAGCAGGGCCCGTCGTTAACGCTAAAAATGCTAAGGGAACATCATTACATTATGCTGCGTGGAAAGGTTATGATAGGATTGTCAATATTCTATTACAAAACAAAGCTGATTCTAATGCAGTTAATGATAAGGGGTTTACCCCTCTACATTATGCTGCTAAGTTTTCTCACTTAAAAATTGTAAAGCTTCTATTATCTCATCGTGCAGTGTATAATGCAGTTTCTGATGATGGTAAAACACCATCAGATTTTGCTGTAGACAAATGTATAACTAGTTTATTTAAATTACTAAGTGACTCATTTAAACATGTTAAAAATGATAATTCTCAAGTTATTAATGATCTTAACAAGATAAAGGACATTGATACAGTAAGAGCAATAATGAATGCTTGCGATAGAGAATACAAAACGTTAGTAGTTGCTGCAGTGCATAGTAACTTCTCAAAAGTCGAACAGTTGAAAGAGGTATCACAAGGTGATGTATCTGCTCAGATTAGTATAGCTTTAGGACTTTTTAATCAAGGCAATTATCAAAGAGCCTTAAGTATTTTCAAAAGCGTATTTGAAAAAAGAAAAAAAATACTAGGGTCAGATAATCCTGGGACTTTAGATATTCAGACGTTCATTGGTAAAGTATCATATGCACAAGGGGCTTACCAAGGAGCTTTAAGTACATTTGAAGAAATTTTCCAGAAACAGAAAAAAGTATTAGGTTTGAATGATAAGAATACTTTAAGCACAAGAAGTACAATTGCTTTAGTGCTGCATAGACAAGGAAGGAATGAAGAAGCTTTTAATATTTATCAAGAAGTTTGTCAGAAGCAAGAGAAAATACTAGGTCCAAATCATTTAGACACTTTAGATACTTACTTTCACATGGCACTAGTTTTAGATAAACAAGGAAAATATGAAGAAGCATTAAACATCAATAGAACAGTTTTTGAAAAAAGAAAGAAAATACTAGGTGCAAATAGCATAGCAGTTGTGTGTGCTCAAAATAATATAGCGATGGTACTGGCTAACCAGGGTAAGTATGAAGAGGCTTTGAAAATTTATAAAGAAGTTTTTGAGAGGAAGAAAGCGGTTTTAGGTATTAATCATTTGAGTACTTTGAAAACGTTACATAGCATTGCTGGAATACATGTCTGTCGAAAAAAATATCATGAAGCCTTAAAATCTTATCAAGAGGTTTTAAATATCCAGAAAAATGCTTTGGGAGCAAATCATCCTGAAACCTTGAATACTCAGTACAACATGGCAAATGTACTTTTTGCTCAAGGTAAATGGATTGGTGCTCTTAAAGCCTTCAGAGAATGTTTTGATCAACTAAAAGCTGTTTTTGGGCCAGGTCATCACACTGTTTTGGATATTTTAAAAAAGATAGGGAGTATTAATTTTATACTTAAACTTAAAGGCAACGAACCGTCAGAAATTCTAAAGTATCTGCAGAAAGATATTAATATTGCTGCTAGTAATGGTGATATACAAGCTATCCATCGCTTATTAAAAGGTGGAGCTGATGCCAGTGACAAAGACATTGATGGAAGAACACCGTTACATTACGCTGTTAGCAGTGGACAGGCAAGTGTTGTGGACATCTTACTAAAAAACAGAGCTGATGTTACTCAAGTTACTAATAAAGGCAATACACCATTACACATTGCTACTTCTAAAGGTTACAAAGAAATTGTTGAAGTTTTATTACAACATGTAAGTCATGATAAATTAAATAATTTTATCAATGCTAAAACCGCTGCTACCGGTGCTACATCGCTTCACGTTGCAGCCAAGAATGGTTTTTTGGATGTTACCAAGTCCTTATTGAAGCAAGGTGCAATTTATAACATTAAAAATAATGAAGGTAAAACACCTCTTGATCTTTCTAAGGACCAAAATGTTAACGACTTACTGAAACTAGTTGAAGAAATATTTAAAGATGCAAAAAATGGTAATGTTGAAATGATCAACAAATTAAAGGCCGTAAAACCTGATGAGTTTGTAGTTGTAACAAATGCTCGTAATAATCAACAAAATACGTTATTGCAAGTTGCTGTAGCTAATAGACACAAGAATGTTGCGAGTAAATTGTTAGAAATGCTAAAAACGCCAGATGAAAATTAAGATGTCAATACATAGAAAGGAGTTAAAAGCTTAAAACTTTAATTAATGCTGTTGAAAATATTATGTAACTTAAGTTAATAATCTTAAAGAAATTGAGTATCGGTAGTTTGCTATTAAAAATATAGTAGATAAAATATTCCTATTTTTTCGTCATGCTGTGAATTCTGTTGTTCTTTAATTATTTTGAATATTATAAGAAAGGCTATATAACACCATAATGGTACACTATAATAGTATAAACTTTAAGCCCTAATTAAGTCATATAAGAATTTTTTTTAAATATAATAAGCAGTTGTGCATGTGCTATGATACGCGTTCAAAAAATTAAAATTTTTATGTATGATAACATCTTTATTTGGAATAGTTGAAACTGAAATAGGTGAATAAAAACCTATTAGATTTTTATTTGCTATTAGATTACAATCTGTCTAGTACACCTAATTTTCAGGTTACATTTTCTTATTTCTTATATTTTATTTTCTTAAAAAAAGAATTGTACTTTTTGTGTAGCGCTTTGTTTTTTCTTTAAAAACATTTTTTTTATCATTATTAGTTTTTAGTGCAGTTAGCTGTTTAAAGTTTTTTTTCTGCTGCATTTTTTAAATGTGTATTTTAATTGTGTATTATAATCAAAACTTGGCTCCCCGTTTTGACTGAAAGTTTCAAGCCGTCTTTTATTTTGCGATGTGTGATAAAAAATAATGCATATTTTCTTTTCCAGCGTCTACATGTCTATGCGATGGATATAATTAACTTTTGATTGTACTGCGTCATAATTTATAACGTGTATAGGAATATCAGGACCACGAGAGACAGCATCTGTTACAATCATGATTTGATTGCGATCACGATGAAAAGAATTGATAACCCTGTCACGTTTGTGCTGTTTTAAATCACAGTGCCAAAACGCTAGTTATCTTTGCTCAATTTATTAGCCAGCTGCTTTGCTCTTCTCATTGCTTCGTTTTGACAAAAATAGTGATTATAATCGTTCACGCTGATGTAAATCGGCTGATGTAATGTGTTTGCCATATTTTTCTGGTTCTGATGCAAAAATAATTTCTTGTTTGATATTTTTATAGTAACTTTATACTTAATAGAAACACACGTTTTGGCTGGTTAAAGCACTTTTCAACAAGTTTAACTATATTACCAGGAAGAATCATACATATCATGAAGGTTTCGTATTTTAAGAAAGTATTTTATTATTTTTTCAATTTGAATTCCAAAGTCCATATCGAACATACTATTTGTTTCATTAAACACGAGAGTATTGATATTGTGAGCAAAGTTTTACGATTAAGTAACTATAAATATGTCTTTTAAGTTGCTGGCAACAGTAATCTCGTGTATTGGCTGTATTATTTTTCCATTTTCTATAAAGAATCCTGATACAGCTTGACTGTAATTACTATTGATTAAATTAACATTAAAATCAAATAAATCAGTTATATCCTCTCCTTCCTTTCACTTCCTCAATTAATTTTTCAAATAATATACTGCCATTGTATAGAGAGGTTACTACTAGCTGCAGGAACAATAATTGCAGCATTACTTGCACAAGTTGCGTTTTCAGTTCTTTTTAAATTTAATTTATTAGTCGAGTATAGATCTAAAATCCAATTTTGTAGTACTCTGTTTTTTACAACGCATAAACCAATACGTTAGCGTACACCCAAATATATTTCGCATGATGCCTGGAAAACATGGACCCAAACACTGCACTTACCGTGCTGATGCACCGCTGGAAAACCTGCCACACACGGACTGCCAAAAGTTATGAGTTAGATACACAAATGGGGTTGCCATTTTGATAAAAAAAAATCTACTGGTGTTCCTGGAGAGGCTTGAAAAATTAAAAGCCAGATATCATTTATACCGGACCGCAGTTACTAATGGGACTTTCCAAGTTGCTTCACGGAGGAGCACTCATATGGTGTCGCAATAACCGGAATATCTAATTAGAATGAGAGGATTTTTTTCATGACTCGCAAATATGTATTACAGACGCAGTGCGCGCTCATATGCGAGATTCAGGTCAGGCCAGGTTACAGCTGTTGGACAAATCTTACCATAAAATTGTCATTAATATTATCGCCGTGTAACTTCAGCTACCAGATTTTTGGAGGAAGAAGGTCGATATGCTATACAAAGTATACAGCAACGTGCATCCGAGATATAAATTATACATTCAACAGGAGACCGCAAGGCGAGCGAGAAACATACTCCATCTCACCAAAGAGTTCGAGTATATAGAAGCACAAAGCAAGGCCCGCCAAACGACAACAGAACGACAGCAGAAAGCACCGGTTGCCACAGTCGTCTATGATGCAAACAATCAGAGCATACGCGCTTCGATTGTCGCTCCAGCGAATCCCACGTTGATTTTGCTCCCAATGCACCAATGATGGCATATTAACAAGAGAATGTCACCCGCTGCCAGGAAATGCCACTCGGGCCAAGGAAAAAGCGGTCGTACTTCGATTCTCTGAGCCTGAAAAACATATTGGTCGGAAGAAGAACGTCTGCAGCAATTCCTGCAGTAGAGTTTCCGAAATTCGAAAAAGTCCGAGAGCCCACCGACTGGTTGCAACATATCGTCCAAGTTAAGATGAACGTGCAGACTAAAGCAGTACCGCCCTTGCCGCGTTCGAACATGGGCCACGTCTGGCTTCAAAATGTGCAGGACTGTTTCACGAAGTGGACCGAAATGCAGGCACTTCGCCGAGCCATAAACATCGTAAAGTGCATTTCCGAGGCGATTATATTATGGATACCCCGAAGAGATCCTCACGGATAACTGTACGTATCTACGGTCCAGAAAATTTGCCGATCTGCTACAAGGGTTCAGGATATATCAACGCTTTATATTAGCATACGCCCCACATTGTGTCCTGGTCGAACGCACCAATTTCACTATCAACATTATGATTAGAATACGTCGAGAGAAACCTATATGACCTGGGACGAACGATCCGAGCTGCAGTTAGTCTATAACACTGCGATGCACGATGTCACTGGCTACACGCCTGCCTTCCTCAGTCATGGGGATGAATTGAGATGCCCGGGGGAAAACACCAAAACCGGGGGACCGCTACGCTACTACACAACATCCGCCACGGATTAGAAGAGGCGTACGAGTTAATAAAGATTCAGCTAACCTGCGCTATAATTTGCTGGCGAGATTTGCAGCCTCATATCGAGGAATGGGTGTTGAAACGAGACCACTTGCTATCCGACAAGCAGGCACAGGATTCGACGCAAAATTCGCGCCGAAATATATGGAGCCAGAAAGAAATACGTCACATTATCTCCCTGGTTATCGTAGACCTCAGAAGCCCTTACAGGAAATGGATATTTAAAAGGTATACAGAAATTTTGTTTATCTTGTATGTTTAGTCTGTGTAGTATTTTGGTTTTATCCGTATTTAGAGATTTAATATAATATAATTATATTCAGTTGTGTGTATTTCGTACATATTGAATACACATAACTGAATTTAGTTTGTACTGAGTTGTAGTGCCAGATGTTCATTATAACGTGTAACAAATTTCGTTTATATATATATATTAAGTGTAAATGTTATATTAATTTTTTCGAAGGTAAATTTTGGAAGGGTAATGTTGGATATGTTTGATAATGCGAAACATCTTATTAATCGTGCAAAAGAATTTTTCACGTATTTTGATGCATATTAGCGATTAAATAGTCTATAATAATTATTGTATTTATTATATAATAATATATTGCAAACTCTAATTTTGTGGAATAGGGTACACATATTTGATATACGGATATAGAATTACATACGCATACATAAATGATGTATTTCTTCTGTATACCTTGTATGTACTATTTTTCTAGGGACTGCACAGGCAAGTACATCGCCACGTGCACATCCAAGATTTGAAGCGGCCATCGAAGAGTTCGTTGGAATATGATCCAGCTCAACCGGCTATGGAGGAACGTTGAGTCACGCTCTTCCGAGCAGAATCAGAGACGATACAACCATCCGCGTCGAATCCAGCTCAACGAGACAGACTGCGAACCGCGAATTGGGATGATCCAGCGATCCAACGACGGGTGATTGAGCGATCCACCAACTAGGCGAAACAAGCATGACTGACCACGCCGCCACCGCCGAAGCCTATATATCTCTTAGTATGTACTAACATATCTACATATTTGTATTAATTATTTGCATATTATAAATTTATTAGGTAATATAAAATATTTACAGAAGCATCAACAAATACGATGTTAAATATTATGATTTCCTTGGAAGACTAAAAACTAGATAAGAAAACCGATAATTTTTTAAGTATGTTTATATATAAAAACGTCTTATAAAAATAAGTTTTGCTTCTTATGAAACTTTTGTTACTTATTACAAAATACATCATTATTGAAAAGAAAGAAAAAAGATCTAAGTATACAGATATCGTTGACATACATCAACAACGTCACCAAGGAAATCTCAAATTCGAAAAAAATTAAAGCATTCTGAAAGAAAAGTAAAAAAATTATAATTTATGTTAATGAAGAAAGATAATGCGGAAGTAGATATAAATTTAATAGATATGACAGAAGATAAATTCTTTCCAATACCAAATAACACCACAACTAAATGGGAAATTGCTTTTGGTCGGCTGAAAAATAAGCTGAAGTTTTGATGTTTGTAGTTTAGAGCATTTTGATTAAAAGTATCAATGTGCACAACTTTCGAAAATAGACTGTTTCAGTGATATTGACCCTAGAGCGTATGTATCCGATTGATGATACAGCAAAAGTTTCCTTACATTTCGGAAGTGTATTAAATGTTTATTTGTGTGTGACATTTTCATATTTGCCGATTCTTGAACACACACACGCTCCCACACACCCCCTCATGCACTTATACAAGAATATATCTATGTATGTATAGATGTTCGGGATTCAGCGTGCGGCAGTAGACGTCGTTTCACGGGTTGCGTGCTTTCAGGCGCCGCTCTCGTCCGAGCTTCTTGGGCGCGATTACGCGGCATCCGCCGAGTTTCCCTAGGCGCTACTCGCGCGCATATTCGCAAGCGCCGGCTATATAGAAGCACAAGTTGGCCGCTTTGCTTCTTCGCACGGTCCAACATCGATAATGGCACTTCAATCTGTTCTTTTCAGAACACGTTTACTTGCACGTGAGCAAGATTTTTGCGGCCTCTTTGGCTCAGTTATACTCGCCTTACTCGGCACACACGCTTTATAAACTACTCATATGTTCTTGAGCGCAAATACGTATGTACTTACGTGTCGTACCATGCATCCATTATTTCATACTTATTTGCACCCGTTCATATAGACATGTTTTTGTATATGTTTTGTTAGGTTGTGGGAGTGTGTATGTTCAAGATTTCGCAACTAATATACACATATGAACATTTAATGCATTTCCTATATTGCAATATAAGGAAACTTTCGCTGTATCATCAGTTGAATATAATAAATACGCTCTAGGTTCAATAAGACCAAAACGGTCTATTTTCCTGAGCTGTGTCCATTGAGACTTAATCAAAATGCCCTAAATTACAACATATCAAAATTTGAGCATATTTGACTAAAAGCCATTTCATATTTATTTAATGTGGGGGTTCTATTTTGAAAGCGCAAACATGTCTGTTTCAAGTAAATGCCAAAAGCGGAAAATCCTGTTTTCAAACATTTTCTTTATATTTCTCTGGTTATAAAGCTTATAAAGATATAGCGCTTTTAAAATTATTTTGCATGCCTAATCCTATAATACAAGAACTATATACTTACACGTATTTTTATCTAACTGCAGGCATTCAAAATGTGACTTTTATAATATTAAAAATTAAAACTAAAACATTAAAAGAAATTGATAAATGTTGTATTTTATGTTTGAACGAAATGTCTTTAAAAGCACATTTATTTTGTAATTCAACAAGAGATAGAGTTGTAGATTTCCAAGATATGGGGTTAGATAACATCCGAGCAAACATCATGTTATATGGTGTTTGCTGGGATGTTTACTGACTGTAAACCCTGTATATACTTGAAATGTCGTTATAATGCTAGTTAAAGGTATATGCCAATTTTGGAAACAACTATCGACATATTTTTTCAAATTTTGCTATTGATAGTTCTTATTTATTAAATATTTTACACACAAAGCTATAATATGTTTAAGAAATATATTGATTTGAAAGTTCACATGTGTTACCTCAGAGTTCTAATTTTGTAAAGTTGTCTTAATTATTACGTATCAATATTTAAAAACAGTACTTTGAAAATAACAATAAAAAATACGAAATTCAGACAGCTATTGATAACAATATTTTTGTTAATATGGGAATAGATAATTACGAATATTGCAATATACCAATAACTGAAGAAAATGCATTTACGTATATTTGAATATTTATTAAAACGTTTTGTAAAACATACATGTCAAACGTGTAAATTACTTATAGAAAAAATAGTAATTTATACATTTTAAAATTATTAAGCTATTTCAGAACATATAATAT